TTCATAGGTCCCAAGGGCAGAGGCAGACATGTCTTATAAGGGTCATCATTTAACCCTCTGCCAGAGGGGTCCATGAATGTTTGTTGAGTGAATGACAAGGGCCTGTGCAGACATGTCATCTGGCCCCATCGTGGCTCTGACCTCACCATCTACACTGGCCCCCTCTTACTCCAGCAACCCCTACCTGCCCTTGAGTGTTGCTTCAACACCCCAGGCCCACTCACACTGAATCTTCCCCTACACTCCACTCTCCCTACTTGCCTTCCTTTGGTCTCGATTTCAATGACAAGTTCTCTATAAGGCCTAACTTAAAAAAGAGCATGGCAGCACATACATACCACTTACCCATCTCCTAGCTTGGGGCATCCAGCATGTGAGCAGTCCCCCATATGTGTGTGGGTGAAGGGATGAGTGAGTGGGTGAGGAGGAAGGTAGATGGATAGATGGAAGAGTAGGTGAATGAGTAGGTGGGTGGATGGATGGATGGGTGGATGACAGACGGGTAAGTGAGGGTGGATAGGTGGGTGGTGGGGTTAGTGGATAGATGAGTGTGTGGATAATTGGATGGGTAGATGGATATACGGGTGGGTGAATAAATGGATGGATGGGTGAAAGGGAGATGGGAAGATGAAGATGAATGAGTGGATGAGTGGAAGGATGTGTGGATGGATCAGTGAATGGGCAGTTGGACAGATAGATGAGTGGGTAGTGGATGAATGGATGAGTGTCTGGGTGTGTGTATAGATGGATATAGGTGGGTAAGTGGGTGGATGGATGGATGGGTGGATAAATGGATAAGTGAGTTGGTGGATGGATGTATGAATGGATGGATAAGTAGATGGGTGTGTAGATAATGATGGGTTGATGGATGGGTGGGTGGATGGATAGATGGATGTGTGAATGGATAGATGGATGGGAAGTTAGGTAAGTGGATGAGTGGGTGGGTGGATGAGTGAACATGTGGGTGGAAGGATGGATGGATGGGGATTGACACAAGGGAGGGTGAAACTTCTATAATAAACAGAAATTTCAAGCAGGGAAGAGGAGAGAAAAGAGGGCCTGAGGCAGTCTGGAACATTCTCATATGAGGCTGAGCCAAGCAGAGCAGGGTAGCGGCAGGGGCAGACCTAAGGGGACTGGTGAGAGATAAAAGCCAACTCAGGAGGACTGGGCAAAAGAGCTGGCTACGCCCAGGACTTCAGGGAGGTCACGGAGGCCTCGGGGAAGGCAGGTGCCAGCACGAGTGGGGGTGGGGGCAGACTGCAGTGGCAGTGAGGAAGCTGGGCAGGGGATAGGGTACAAAGAATACCTGTGTTCAGCCAGCATAGGCTGGCAGGTCAGGAAGAGGTCAACCTGAAAAAGGAGGCCAGAGGCTAGAGGCCAATGACCCTGACCCAGCTCTACCAAGGCCAGGGCTGAGGTAGGGGGATGAGGCAGGGTTTGCGATGGGCCCTCAGAAGGCATCCTGGAGTGAGGCCATTGGCGAAGAAACTGCTCCTGGCTTCAGGGGGGAGGGCAGGGCTAAGCCTCCACCCTCAGCAGATCTTGGAGGGTCTCAGAGGGGACTCCCTGGGAGTCTTCCAATACGACCTGGACCCTGGACCCTCTGGGCCCACCCTAGCACCAAGGTGTAGAGCCAGGCCCCACACCAGCCTCACCCCTGACCAGCCAGGGCCACCCCAAGAGACGGCATGGTACCCTCCACATTCATTTTGCTGTTTTCTGAGCCTCAGCCCTCTTCATTTTCCAGGTTGATCTGGCTCCTCCGGGCAACCCTCTCTGACCACTGCTCACCCCCAGGGATTAAGTAGGTCTTGGACAGTGTGGGCAGTGAGGCCACCCTGCGGGTACCATACACAGCCTAGCACTTGGCCAGAGAAAAATGCTGGAAGGAACCAATGAATGAGATTTGGGAAAGGGCAGAAACCTAGGTGCCAGGGTATGAGGCCTGCCAACCCAGACTGCCCTGAGAGGAGGGAAGTCCCCCTTCCCACAGTGGGCGCACCCACTACATGCTGTCTGGCCCATTGTTGGCTAGTCCTGCTACCAGCCCCTCTCCCACAATAAGGGACAGGAGCGGGCAGGGAGGCTCCATCTGCTAAGGATATTAGAAAGGACTGGAGCAGGGGTGCAAGGGAAGATACCAGGCCAAGCCTCATGCATCTAGGAGCCAGCCTCACCCTCCTCCCAGGCTCAGAGACCCCAGAGGTCAGAGGCCAGCACCATTAGGCAGGTGGGCGCAGGGCCGGCCCTGCTCACCTCTGTCTGCAGTGCCTGGCAGACAGGCAGACTGCTGTGGACTCCTTCACAGACTTAGTTTGGGGAGGGGAAGGTGGGGTGACTGCGTGTGCAGGCAACTGTTCCAGGTGTGCCTCAGCCCGAGTCCCAATGTCTGGCACCTTTCAGAAGCAGCTGGTCCCCAGGTCCCAAGGCTGTGTACAATGGTTCCTATGGTTGGCATGATGGTATCTGACTCTCTTTGGAAAAGCCCCCTCCCACCTCATCTGTGAGGACTTGGTGACCCCAGACCCTCTGGCTCCTCTGGGGAGTGCTTCACTGAGCTCATGTCCTGTGTATGTCCTGAGGGGTCCACTCCTCCCAGGCCTTTCTGGACTACCCACCTGCCCTCCCCTCACAGGTGTTTGTAGGATGCCCCTCCCATCCTCTCATCCTCCCTCCTTCCCTCCCTCAACCCAGCACCCAGGTAAAGAGCAAGGACTCAAAAAATGCCTTTAAATGCTTTATTTGGGATTGCCAGCCAGCGTTAACAGGTTAAAGACAAAACCCAGCAGTGGATTCTGCCAGAAATATAGCATGTTAAAAGGGCTAAATTGAGGCAAATGAACGAACAGGGGCCACTGACAGATGGAATGGGGCAGTGGCACAGGATGACATTTGTCGTTCGGCACGTGGGGGGTCTTCAGGTGATGGCAAAGGAAGGGACCCAAGAGGGGGTCCTGCTGAAGACAGTGTAGGGTGGGGGACACGGGGAAGAGACAAGATGGAGGACCACACTAGGCACGGGAGGCCAGATAGGTGCCCAGGTCAAGATGGCCAGTGACCAGGGGAGAGCTGCAAATTTGGGAACACAGAGGGTAGGTCTGCAAGTGCCCCCGGGAGCACCCATCCCAGCGAGGCAAAGTGTAACACTGGGGGGATGAGTGTCCGGCCAAATGGGCAAACAATTTGGGGTGCCTCGAAGTATTTTGGACTGTCCAGCCAATCTGTATTCTCCAATTATAACAATTTGCTCTCTGAGTTTCTGGCCAATGTTCCAAATGGCCCATTCTCCAGGCACTTGCAGAGGGACCCTCTGTGCTGTGGTTGGACTGTCATGGACCGCCCCCAGGGTCATGCAAGTCCCGTCGCCAGGGCCCAGAGGCCTCGAGCCTCTAGACTGCTAGTCGGACTGTTATGCAGGGGGGCTGTGCTGGGGGCAGAAGTGGGGGTGAGGTAAACCTCCCAGCCGCCCGGGTCCCTGCCACAGTCCTAGGCACCGCAGGGGTGGCTGCACGGCACTGCCAGACCCGCGGGCCTCAGAGCCCAGGCGAACCCATCAAAGTCAGCTCTCTTGCTCTGCGGGCTTAAAGCCTTCTGGCCTCCCCAACTCCCGGCCTCACCCCACCCTGCCCATAGGAGGCCCCCAGAGCTCCAGACCTCCTAAAGACAAGGCAGAGCGCTGAGGAGTGGGGAAGGTGTCACTGAGGGAGGGGGGAGGGCTCCCCAAGTGTGAGGAAGGCGGCCACCTGCTCCCGCCCGATGGAGCCCCTCTGCTTACACATCTACAGTCCCTTCCCCCCCAGCTGGCCATGGCCAGCTGGGGGCCCCATCTTTGTGGCCTCCGAGCACCCTCCTGACACCGGGGGAGACACTGCCCCACCCCCCCTCCACCCCTCAGGACCTCCAGGGACCAGCCACTGTTCCTGGAAGCCAGGCCGAGCAGTGGCCTTCTCAATTCCCCTTTGACTTCTCTGTGGGGGCAGTGGCCAGCACCCCACAGAGGCTCCACTCCCAACTTAGCCCAAGCGACAGGGACAGATTCAAAAACAAAAATCAAATCAAGGGTGATAAATGGCGAGGAGCAGGACGTTGTGGTGATGGTGGTGGTGGTGGCTTGTGCATTTTACTTTTGTCACTGCTCCCCTGTTACATAGGAAGGGGATATAATTTGGTTATGAGCATATGAAAAGCTAGGGAGGGTTCAAAAAAAAAGAAAGAAAGAAAAGAAAAAGGAAATATGCCCCAAGAAAGAAAGGGGGGGAAGATCAATTGACATAAAATTTTGGCTCCTGATTTCTCTATGTAATTCTGCAAGGTTACCTGCTTCTCCTCCTGACTTTGCCATCCAAAATCTCCCAGGACCATTTCCTACCCCAGAGCTTCCCCCACCCAGCCCCCACTGCCCCCCACCCACCCCTCCAACCGCCAGACTTCCCACACTCCCCACCATCAGTGTCAGTCTCCTGGGGAGCCCCCTCAGAAGTGGGGGCTCCCCAGGAGACTGACAAAGATGGCCCCTAGGTGTGTGTGTTGGGGGGGGATCCCCTAGATCTTTCTACCAGCACACCCAGGGGGTCAGGCTACTCGGAGAGCATGTCTTGCTTAGCAACGCCATCTCGAATCTGGCCAGACTCATTCTCACTCTAGCTAGGTCGGTGCACAGTATATGCAAGGGCACCAACGTGGGTGGGGTCTGGGGAGCATCGTGACTCACCCTGCGGGGCACCGTCTCCAAGGAGATGTGCCTCACGGGGCGGGAGGGGAGTTCAGAGCGTGAAAACAGCACAGGAAATTTGGGTGGACCTCAGCCCAATCTCTGCAGTGTGGCTCAGATACCTGAGCTGCTTGGTTATTCTCAATGTTTTCATCTGGTCATGTGGGAGTGTGTGATGTGTGTGTGATGTGCGTGTGAGGGTTTGTGTGTGATGTGTATGCATGTGTGTGAGGGTTTGTGTGTGTGTGTGTGTGTGTGTGTGAGGTTTTGTGTGTGATGTGTGTGCATGTGTCAGGGTTGTGTATGTGATGTGTGTGTGTGTGCGTGTGAGGTTCTGTGTGTGATGTGTGTGTGAAGGTGTGTGTGTGTGTGCATGTGTGTGCTCATGTGGATGATGGATGCGTGTGACATGTGCTTTTTAGGGTAGGAACTGAGATGTAAGATTTTGGGGGTGGGGGTCTATGCCAATTAAGCTTTATTTGCAGTTTTCACGCTCCGTCCCCCTTCTCTGGTCTCACTGGGTTCCTCCACCAGCCCTATGGTGACACTGGACGGAAAGGTGAGTGAAGAATGAGTTTGGGTGGCTGTTGTTGTTGAACAGCCAATTACACTGAAAGTGCCTGATCTAAAGTTGTGACAAGGGAGATGGCACAGAAGGAAGGACATGCCCACCTGCAAAATTTCCAGTTCCCCTTCCTTTCTCTTGGGTTCAGGGACCCAGTCCAAGCCAATTTGACTCAAGGTCCAACGGGAAAGGAGGAAGGGGGGGGGCGGGGCATGCCAAATTCTTTTATTTTGCCAATTGCTTTGCAGCCAATTAATTCCTTTTTAGTATTCGTTAGCCAATTGGATTATTTTTAAAATTTTTTTTAAAGCTAATTAGCATTTCTGGTGTTTCTAAAAAGCCAATTAGTTTCAAGCATGTGTGTGAGATTTAGGGATTTGATGTTTTAAAGTTTTTGACGTATACATACAATTTGGAGGGGGGGGATTTGGGGGAGGGCTGTGTGGAAAAATTTTTGAAAAAGCCAATCAGTTTTGTTTCTGAAGATGTGATCTGTCAGCCCGATGGTGGGGGCCTAAGAGAGTAGCCTGATGTGGGGAGGCGGGGCATGGGGGCAGGTGGAGAGAAGCCCAGTGGGGTGGAAATGGGACTGAGAGATCTTAGTGGAGGGACCGGATGGAAATGTCCCTGGTCAAGAGGAGGTCACAGGGTGATGGTGCTACAATGCAGAATTACGACAATTTGGCTCACTTCTGGTTGCTGGACATCTCCGGAGAGGCACCCCCGTGGGCAGGGCTGTTGGAGGGCAAGGCGATCAGGGGACGGTGACGCTTGGCCTCTCTGAACGCTTCGAGCTCCTTGGCGAGTGTACGGCCTTGGCGGGCACGCAGGAGGGCAGGCAGGCCTCTGCGCAGGCGTTGGGTGGACTGTCTCCAGGTGTCATAGTGGAAAAACTTGCCCACGGGGTATCTGGGGAAGTTGTCCTGAAAAGGATAGGGCCAGTCAGTGAGCGCCATCTCCACCTGCACAGGTTCCTACCCTGAACCACCCACCCACACCTCACAATGGCCCGACCCGAAGACCCCGACCCACACCTGTGCCGCGCCAGGTCGAGTGCATGGGAAGAGGCCAACAGTGAGGCGCAAACTGCCCTCCAATGCCCTGCGAGCTCACAAGCTGGGTGCATCCTTGTTCCTGGGCTAAGAAGTCCAACTTACATCCACCTAACATCCTGTCCTGTCTCGGGTGAGGGGGAGGGTCCTGGGCCTCACCGGAAGCACGGTCGGAAAGGTTGACACGTCCCTCTCAGACTTGGCGGGGGTGGCGCAGTAGGTCTCCAGAAGGGCCAGGTCACAGCTGCGGAAGCAGCACTCCTCGACGATGCCACGACTGCGACGATTCACACGGCTTGCGGGCCTGCCTGGAAGCCCCACGGGACAGAGAGCAGCAGTCAGCACACATCAGGACGCCCCGGGCCCCTCCCAAAGAATGCTGCAGGAGGAGAAAACTCCCCCTGCCCTCAGCCTTAGGTCCTGGGCAGTCACTTGATCACCCTGAGGGAACAGGAGAGAAGCATGAACCAGGAGGGCAGAGGAGCCCAGAAAGGAGAGATGAAGGTGGGCATGCTGCAGGGCCAGCCCCGGGCCTCCTCTGATCTGAAATGGCACACCCTCTCTGTCCCACAGCCCCACAGCCACCACCAGGACCACAGGCCCTCACTGGAGGTGTTTGGAAAATGGGTAGGGTGTGGTCCCTGGACTTGGGGCTCTGGCTAGGAGAGACCTGAGCCTGAAGGGGCCCACCCCCCAGTGCTGCGCTGAGACAGGGAGGATAGGGCAGGAGAGAACAAGACGGGAGGGGAGGAGTGAGGTGCCCATAAACCACTCCCTTCTCTTCTCCCGTCTTTCTCCTCTCCCCCACTCAGGTCGAGGCTCGGCTGGGGGAACAAAGTCGCTGTGGATTTCATCTTGGGGCACAAATGGCAAGCATCATGGGGGGGAGGGAGAGGGAGCCCCATCTTGGGGGTCCCGTGAGTGGGCTCAGCCCAGTCTTCCTCTTAGGAAAGCGGGGAGGGGGGGGCTGGGGAGTGGCTCCCTGAGCAAGGATGGCCCTGCAGTGTCATGCCATGTCCTACCCCAAACCAGACAGGCAAGAGTGAGGGTCTGAGAAAGGCCAGGCACCAGGAGACCTTCTCAGAGAGAAGGCTTGAATGCAAGAGCATCTTGTGAGCACCTTACACGAAATTAAGTAGAAGCACAGAGAAGGAAGACAAGTGGTGAGAAGACAGAGTGGTCCATGCCAGAAAGGGGGGGCACCCTTCCTGATGCTCCTCTCTCTTCCCGCACAGGCATGCCCCACCCAGATGTCCCCCAGCTGCCCTCTTCTGCAAGCAGTGAGCCCACCTTGACCACCCAGGCTGGAAAACCAAGAGAGAAGCGTGGGCAACACGCAGGTTCTGATGGCAAGGGGCCAGCTCCTCCTGTACCCCAAGGCTGCATGCATACTCAGCCTTGTCACCCAGGACGAGGCTTTCAGCCTTTTTACTTTCATTGACTTTTAAATCAACCAGATGGTAAATCTGACCATCCAGGAGCACGTGCCCCTTGTAGAAATGGCCAGATTTGCAAAAAGGCAGAGTCTGAGCCCGCAGCTCTGCTCAAGTGTCATGGTGTCTCAGCAGCTGGGGGACTTCAAGCCCCACCCCACCCCTGCCAGGAGCACAGATCCCAAGGAGACCCCACCCTCTGGCAGTGTGAACTAGATCAGGGCTATTCACCTTGGAGTATCCCTGGCCCAAGGCCAGGTATCCTTAGCCGTCTCCCCTGGGAGGTCTGACTCCAACACTTATTGAGTGCCCACTGTATGCACCCTCCCCCTTCGCCCCACCACTCTGGAGCTACTTACTGAAGTAGAAGCCGCGGTCCCCACAGACAAACTGGAGGGTATCCACCAGCTCCCCGCCGCACAGGGTCTCACTGGGGCGGTAAGCAGCAATGCAGCACGAGGCAAAGGCCAAGAAGGTGAGAAGCACCAACATCGACTTCCCCATCAGCATCCCCATTGGTATCTGGGGACAAGAGTCAGGTAGGGTGTGAGGTAGGGCCCTGGACCACACCCATGATCCCAAGGTGCCCCTCCCCCAACCAGAAGTGCCCAGCCATTCTTAATTTCAAATTCAACTGAAATTTGAAAACTGGCTTTCTTATTGAAAAGTTATCATTTTCAACGACAAAAAAATAACATACATGCTTGAACTGCTAAGGCCCCAGGGTCACTCTGAGAATGCAGAAGTGTTTGAGAGCCCCAGAGAGCGCTCCACAGCTCTGGTTTGCAAGAACCACCAGCAATTTTACATGGGGACCACAACTGTCCTGCAGCTCAGCCACACCCACGGCCTCAGAGACCAGTGCTGGACACCGGACCTGGCCTCCATCCTATGACGTCATGGGGGTGGGGCCAGCCCAAGGGCATGTCACTACTTCCACTACTGCTCTGGCAAGATGGCAGTTTGCTCCACCCCACCATGGAGCATGTGCATCCAAAAGGACCAGTCCCCATCTTGCCCACCACCCAGCTGGGCAGGGGACTCCAGGAGGACCACCCCGCCCCAAGCAGCAGGGCCAGCCCACTTCCCCCACCCCCTCTTCCAGTCTGAGCTGAGCAGAGCTCAGGTCAAGGATCCAGCGGTTAGAGCAACAGTACCGCCCACACTCCTGGGGGCCTAGCTCTCCAGAACCAGACCGTCCTCCAAGTCCTGGGCACCCCAAAGCACACAAGAAAGCCAAAAGTCCCCTTTCTAGGCCTCAACTCACACCACCCAGGGCCAGGGCCCTCAGAGTCCTTCAGTGACCACCAGACCAGATCATCTCCCCATCTGAGGGAGCTGGACACAGCAGGTCAGGCCACCTGGAGGCTGGACACCAGGTCTCTGCAGGCCAGTCCATTGTAGGACACACCCCCTCCACAGGCTGAGTGGCCTCAGGGCGGGCTGGGGCAAATGTTAACCAGCTCCTTTTGGGGTGGGAGGCCCCCACACACAGCAGGCTACTCCAGCTCATGCAGAAGATGGAACCCTATGGCCACAGCCCCTGCCTTCCTTCACAGGCCCAGGGGGTTTCTTGATGGGATAAATCACAGACAGAGACGAGAGGAATAAAAAAGAAACAATCTCGCTGTGGTCACCTCTACAGGAGGATCTAAAAGTCACCTTGCCCACCTCCTCCACAGGACCCCAACTGCCCTCCCCACCACCCTTCTCCACTTTCAAATTCTAGGAACAAACTCAGCCAGCCAGCCACTCAGCAGCGGTCAGTCCGAGGGCAGTTCCATCCTGCTGCCCTTGAAGTCCCTTCTGCAAACCCGACCACTCTAGTTCCGTGACCAGCCCAGGACACCAGCAGAAAGCAGGAGACTGGCCAAGAGGCATGAAGAGTTGTGAGACAGGTGAAGGCCCAGGAAAAGCCAGAAGCTGTTGGAGGAGGGAGGCAGAAGGGAAGAGAAGAAAAGAGGAAGGAGGAGAGGAAGCCAGGGAACTAGGTGGGAGCACAGGGGCAGAGGCCCAGGGGAGGACGAGGGCATGCGAGAGGCAGCAGGCCCGGCTGCAGGGCGGAGGCCCGAGGCTGGGCCGCTGCCCTGGCGACCCCACCAGGCAGGCCAGAGCAGGATGGCAGCAGGGTCCTGGCTTCACAGCCCTGGTTACCTGCAGCTGGACAGGAGGTTCGCTGGGGCTGGAGGAGAAGGAGGAGGAGGAAGCTGGAAGTCTCTCACAGGAGAAGCTAATGTCCAGTTTGCAAGCTGGTCAGTGCCTCAGCTTTTATGTCTGAGCCGGCTCCTCCCCAGCCCCGGCTCCACCCTACCCCCACCCCCTCCCTGCTGACCACTCCCCCCGCCCCCTTTGCACCCGCCCCCTCCCTCCTTCCAGCCAGTCCCTTCTCTTCTACACCCCCAACCGCTAGCGCTGGACTATCCCTTAGCAAAGCCCCATGATGGAGGCGCTCATCCTGCGCCCCCAGCCCATCTCTGCACAGGGCAATGGGGGAGGCGAGGGGTGGGGGCTCCTTTCCACCTCATCCTATGGAAACTTCCAAGCTGTCCACGACCAGGGGCAATTAACCCTCTCTGAGCTATACAGTCCTGCTCTTCTAAGCCTCAGCCTGGCCCCTCTCCCCAGATTCCGGGTTGTGAATGTTGGGGACAGAGATAGGGGGGCTTGGGGGTCATATATTGCAAATGTGGCGTCTGGCATGACTCCTTTGCCAACTCGGCCCCTTCTGGCCCCGCCCACCCAGTTTTCCTCTCTCAGTCTTGCTGGCACCAACTCAACATACCAGGGTGGGCTTCCGAGACTCTGCTCTCCTCCCCATCACCCAGCACCCTGGGAGGGGGAACAGGGCCCGTACAGCACAAATCACACATTTCCAACTGCCACCCCCCACCCCAACAGACCAGGAAGTCGCCTGCGCGGGCAGCTCACACCTCCCTGGCACTTCCCCACGCCCCTGCCCCTTCCCCTTCCCCCACTCCACGGGAGCGAGGGGGAGCGCGGGGTTTGGGCGCAGAAGGAACGGGACCCCAGCCCCCACCCTCGTCCCCGGCCCTGCCAGCCCAGCCGATCCCCGGCCCGGGGTGCGGGAGGAAGGGCCAGGCGTCCAGCGCACCCGCCTCCCTCCTGGCCCCGCCGGCCCGTGCGCCGCTTACCTGGAAGCCGGCGACGCTGCCGCCCACCTCCCTGCTGCGTTATCGCAAACCGAACAGCGGGCGTAGGCCCTCCTGCCGGACACTCCTCTGCCAGCGCCGCTCTGGCCGAGTCGCGGGGGCCGAATGTGCGACCGGGCAGAACGGGGGGATGGCTTTTTTGGGGGGGGGACTCTTCTGCTTCTTTAGGGAGGACGGGCTGTCTTCGGGCTGGGGCGGGCCAGATGTTGTACTTTCGGGGGGGAAAGGGTATCGGGAAATGAGGTCAGCTGTTGTACCAAGGATAGAGGGGGGCAGAGATAGTGAGAGAGACAGAGTGAACGTGAAAAGGGGGGGGCCAAAGAGAGGGCGAGAGGGAGAGAGGACAGCGAGAGGCGGGCAGGCTCACAGCGGGAGAGAACAGCTCGGAGAGAAACAGAAAGCGTGTAATTAATCCACTTTGGTAGGCGAAGGCGAGGGCGGGCGTGAGGGGGGAGGGAGTCGGAGGCGAGGAGCGGGGTGGGGGCGGGAGGGAGCCCAGGGAAGGTGGCGAGGAACTGCGCGGGCCGCGCGCGGGCGCGGAGGGCGCAGAAAGCTAAGGAAAGAGCGCAACGTCGAGGGCCGGGGACGGTGTTGATCGGGGCGGAGTGGAGGCGTCACCCGGGCCGCGGGCGCCCAGCTCGGTTTGGGCCGACGGAGCCCTCTGCCGTCGCAAGCCCGGGCTTCGGGTGGGGAACAGGCGTGGCGGCGCCACGGCCGCTCGGGACGCAGCGCGGAAGGGGGAGCGGCCGGGCTGCGCGCCGGGGAGGGCTGGGGGGGGAGCGCGGGGGATGACAACGCCGGCGGCCTGCGAGCCGGACTGCCTGCGGGGGGGACCGCCTCCTCCGGCGAAGCGGGGACGGGCGTTGAGGTAGATGGAGGAGGAGGCGGCGGGGAATCCGCAGGCCCGACGGAGCGCGACCCCGCCGACGGCGCCCGGGACGGGAGTTAGCAGCGAGGCGACGGACGACGTCGACGCGGGGCCGCCAGCCCGGGTGGAGGCGCTGGCGGGCCGAGCGCGGGCGGGCGTGGGCCAGGAGGCGGGGGCGGCCGGAAGGGGGGGCCGGGGGCCGGCCTGGCCTCACGCAGCTCCGCCGGAGAGCAGGCGAACTGCGGGCGCCAACGCCCGGCTCTTATAGCCGCGCCACCCCGCGGCTCGGCGCCCGCTCGGGCCCCGCTGGCCGCGAGCCCGCGCCAATGGGCGCCCGCGGGGCCCTCGCCCCGCCCCAGGACCGCCCCCGCAACTCGAGCCACCGGAGGGAACGCGGGCTGGGGGCCCCGGGTCCGGGGGGCTGCGGTCGGGGGGGGGGAGGGCTGTGGGGTGCGCGGTCGTGGGGCGAAGGTGGGGGGCTGGGAGCAGCAGAAGGTGAACGAAATCCCGAATCCCTATTCTAAAGAATTCGGGGGCCTCATCTCAAGTTTCTGGGGTGCCGAGGCGCCCTGCGCTCTTGCGCTGGGGGCGCAGAGCGAATAGCCATGAGCGGCATCATAAGCCGTAGCCATAGTGAGGGTTCCCGCGTCCCGCCATGAGTTACAAGGCAGGGACGTCCTATCAGAGTGCTGGCGCAGGTGACACGGCGCTGGGTTGGGGGTCCCCGCTAGAAACTTCCTGGGGAGGAAAGAAAGATCCCCTGTCTTGAGCGAAGCGCGCAGCCGCCACCTGCCCAAGCAGGCGGAGCGGGCTGCGCTGCACCTTGAGCCGCACGCTGATCCCGAGCGCCCCCCGGTGCCGCGCGGGAGCCCTGAGCAGCCTCGGCGGCTGCCAGGTGCGGGACACCGAGAAGGTCCACTGGTCCCAGCCGGATCTGGGCCAGGCACTGAGCCTGCTTGCAGAGATTGTGCCCGCTGGGGAGAAAGGAGCAGGGCGGGAAATGTATTTCAAATCCTACCTGCATGACTGAGCTCACCGGGGTGCGTCTAAGCAGCTCGCCTTTGGGGCCCACCCAAAATATCCGGACAATGGTTCCCCCGTCCTCAGTGCGTTGGACTTGCGTAGACACGGGTTCAGCCCCGGGGGCCACCACGATAATTTGGGGGTCTGGGGAAACCATCTCCTGGAGAGTTTGGACGACGTAAGAAGGCATTGTGATTTTTATCAAGTCAAAACCACTCACAAGCCCGCTCACCCTGCCCGCCCTCCGCAGCCCGCGCAGCCCGAGCCTAGCCGAGAGGAAGGGGCCGCAGGCGGCGGAAACCCGCGCGCCGGCTAACCCCCTTGCTCCGCCATCAATCACTGCGCCCGCGCTCGGCGCGCGCCTCCCCAAGCCCTCCGCCTGGCTGGCCGGAGGCGCCACGCCGCCAGCGCGGGGAGCGCCTTTCCTCCGCGTCCCTACGACCCAGCGCTCGGGGCCAATCCACTTTCCCCACAATCACAGTCTTTGCAAAGAGTAAACGAAAGCAGAGCCAGTTTCGGGGCGCCTAGCCCCAGGGAGTGTGGCCGCCGAGCGCGAGGCCCGCAGCCAGTTCCCGTGCTCGTTATCGGCCTCTCCCTCGGCAGCCGGAGACAAGCGCCAGCCGGGGCAGGACGGCAGTAGGTGCGGGCAGCCCCAAGGGCTGGGGCCGCAGAGGCTGCGGGACCGCGCCGCGGGGAGCTCACCGCGAAGCCCGAGGCTGCGTCTGCAGGCGCAGGAGGAGCCAAGGCGGCAGGCGGGCGAGCTCTCTGTGGAGGGCAGTGGACGCTGCTGAAGGTGAGCGAGACCCCGGGGGCAGTCCCCAGTGTCCGGGGGCAACGCCCAGTCCGTTGGAAGACCCGGGGACAATGCCCAAATTTGGGGGAAACTGGGGGCAATGCCCAGTCGTTTCCCTGGATGCGGGAGAAGCACTGCTCACGTCTGAGCGGTAGCTCGGCTGTCCTGAGTGTTTGGGGCACACATAAAAATTTCCAAAATCCGAATTGCTCCGTGGACTCCGTAGGAGACGCAAAGGAGTAGAAACCATTGCCCGCTGTGCGCGGGACAGGGGAAGCTGCTGAGGGTGGTCGGTGGGCCAGGAACAATGCCCCAATTTCGGGGATCCCAAGTTAGGGCTCTGTCCGGTTTGCAGCCCAGAGAATGAGTGTCCCGATGTAGGGGCCCAGGGGGAGATTTTTATTAATAGGGGAACTGTGATTAATGGCTAAATTTGAGGTTACAGAAAGATGGAGTCCAAGTTTGGGGGGGTGAAGACAATTGCTCTGTGCAATTGGGGGACATGGTGATCCAGGTCTAAAATTGGAGAACCCAGCATCTTGGTCAGCAAGTTTGGGGGACCCACGAAATTCCAGACTGATTTGTAAAGGATAGGTTCTTTTGGATCGAAGAAAAACTCAACATGAAATTTGGGCGGACCTAGGAGGCAAAATTGCTTAAAACTGAGGTGGAAAACAATACATATTTTGGGGATACAGACAAATTCTTATTAAAGTGTTAGGAGAAAGAAGGGATTAATGACCACATTTTAGGACCGCTGGCCAGTGAGCTGACACTTGCAGGAGCCGGGGAACAAACCTCCAGTCACTGTGGCCTCTGGGAAAATCCCTAATATCCTTTGGACATTGGAGGAACTCTGTCAAAATTTGGGGGACCTACAGTGTAAGCAGTACATGTGGGGGATGCATAAAATCAATGTCCTTTTATATTAAGTTTTTAGAATAGATTTAGGGGTTTTTTTGTTGTTGAACAAAAGGAAAAATCCTATATGATTTTGCATTTGGGGAGCCCCAGTAAAACACAACCAAAGTTTTGGGGGATCCATGGAGGTACTCAATGGAGATTGGTATCTAACTTCAGGGAACTGAGTTAGTAAGTAGGAAACTGAAAAGACACAGACCTCTAAAACCTGCGATTTCTGGGATATTTTTCATTGTGCTTTGGGGGGCTCGTGAAACATTGCCTCAATTTAGGGGGACTCAAGGTAGGGATTATAAAGTTCGCCAAAGTTCATTAAAAACTTAGGTCATTAAAAGCTCCATTCTGTGGAGAAAAAAATCCTATTTGTTTTGGACTACCTCAGTTTGGGGGCTCCAGGAAAATAATTTTTGAATCCAAGGATCCAGAGATATCGCTCAGGACTCGGGGTCAATGTCTAAGTTTTAAGGACAGGGATTACTGGTTCTTAAATCCTAGGGCCTTGAGAATCAGTGCCCCAAATTTGTGATCTGGAGGGAGCGTGTAGCGTTGCAGAAAGCATTGCTCAAGTCGGAAGGACTCTGGGTGTATGAGTTATGTTGCAGCCAGAGAAAGCACAGCCTTTCTGTGACCCAAGGGTAAAAACTGTGTTTCTTTGGGGGTCTTGGAGAGCATTGCCTGATATTTGAAGGAGCCCAACATGTGTGAACCTGGCCGCAGAAGAAAAGAGCCCACTGTCATCCTGGGAGTTGGGATTGATTTTTGAATTTGATAAAATCACGGTCCTGGTCACCAAGTTATAGAGGACCCAGCGATCTTTTAAAATTGGAAATGTTGTGATGCAGAGAAAATGCTCTCAGTGTCTAGGGCTTGGGGACATTCAACAAAGCCTGGGGTAAAAAGATAAAGGCTCTGCCCCAGGGTTAGTTGTGTGCCTGGTGTGACCCACAGAGGCATGGGGCAGCATGTGTGATTTGGGAGAGCGTGGAAAGCCCTCCATCACACTGAACACACCTTGGGTAATTTACTCAGCCAGATTTTGGGGCCTGGGTTACAGCGTCTATATTGTAACGATCCCTAGTAGAGTCCAGGAAGCTTGTAGAGCCCTGGAAATGAAAATCCAAAATCCTTACAGCCCACGGGGAGGCGAGGATTCGCTCAGTGAGTTTTGAGGATCACTGGCAAGAGTACTCTAAATTTTATAGCATCAGGAAATCACAGTGCAGATCGGTTACAAAGCCTTGGGTGTTGTGGTACCTAAATTTTGAGGAGGCAACGTTCAGACTTGGAGGGTTCCAGGAAAATTGTTCTGTGCGTTAGGGAGACCGGGGATTTAAGGTGCAAAATTTACAGAGCCCAGGTTGGGGGGAATAGATTGTGAAACTCCGCGGATATTGTCTGAACTGATGAATCCGGAGAACTGGAGAAGTCAGAACAGGGGCGGTAAGCTTAGAGACTCTGCGGTTCAGTATCCAAAATTATAAGGAAAAGTTACACTTGTTTTGGGGACAGTACTTAAATACCAGAAAAATGCTGTCCATACTCTAGGGAGCCGAGGGAATTTGTCAGCCTAACCATAGGACCTAGTGGTTGCTGTTTAAATTTTAGAGAATCCGTAAGCGATGGGGGGGGGGAGTGTGTAAAAACAAAAACAGAAAACTGCTAAGCAAATTTGGGGATCCTGGGACAAAAGAGTTTAAATCCGGGGAAGCCAGCCGAAGATTCCCTTGTTTTGAACTGTTTGAAAATTAATGTCCAAAAAATTTTTGTGAGCAGTTACAAACGCTGGATGTATCTGGAGGAACTGGAAAGCAATGCTTAAAATTTGGAGGCTCCCAGAAAAAAAAAATAATAATGTCGGAGTTCCAGAAAAGCAGGGAAACTGCTGGCTTCATTGAAACCCTGGAGAACTGGGGCTGCATCGGAGAAGCCGAGCTACAGGGCTGGAAGGGGACGCGCCGCGGGAGCCACGGTGCGCAGGGACCCGCGCACGGAGCAGTGGCGCCCTCCCCGGGGGATGCGGGCGCGGGCTGAGCTAAGCGGCCGCTCGGGGAAGGGGCGCGCGGGCGGCGCGGGCAGGTAATGCGGGCGCCCGGGAGCGCACGCCCGCCTGAATTGAGCTTTTCGTTCTTCCGCCTTCTCGCCACGGAGAGCGTTTCTATGGCGGGAGC